CAATTTCAGAGGAGACACCTGTGATGTAGGAGTCAGCAGGTTATCAGTCGGAGGCCTGCACCTTGTCTTTATTGAGGTGGAGGTGTTTCTGTCCACTAGAAGAGGAGGAGGAGGAGGAGGAGGAGGGGGGCAGCCTCCCAATGCACAATCAATGAAGGGTTTAACTCAAAGGTGGAAATTCACCGTGCAGTAAATATTGTTTTTCTACAATCTGCAGTTCCCAAAAGAGCCATCATAAGGCATGTAGAAAGCATGACTTGGAAACAGATGTATGCCATGAATAAAAACATTTGTGTTGCCAAACATGTGATTCGATAATAAACTCATGACTATTTCAACATGTGTTGCTAATGTACATGAGCTGTTTCGCTCTTAACTGCTGGTGTTTGAAGACATTAAAGTCCAGTGTAATTTTGGACTCCTAATGGAATAGGCTTTTAATGTTGACTTAGTAAGTGACCCTTATTATGAGAAGGACTTTGGATTGGACTGCATGACGAGGTCCGCGGTCTCTTAAGGGAAAGCGAGAGGTATTGCGGCATTATTGCGGCGCTCTGATAGCAGGTGCTCCGCACTGACTTGGCCTTTATTGACCCATTACTCAGTGGCCCTATCGCTGGACAGTAACGGCCCGGTCAATGGATGGGGAAATGGTGACCATTCACCGCCAAAACTACGGTTTTATTTGCCCACTGTGCTGAGCTCTGAAATATTGTGTGGCAAGCGTTTTGTGTTATATTACCCATCAATACAATTTTGGGGCCTTTTTCCTACTTTTATTGCCGTTTACGCTATCTGAAAATGATTTATATAGTACAAAAACTAAGCAAATTTATCCTTAAAAATCGAGCATTTAACAATATTGACCTATATTTTTATTACAATGAGCTGTAGGTCAAATAACATGTAACCTACTGTCCATTTTAATGTAGATAAAACAGAAAATTTCAGTTTTTTCATGTTATTGACAGCCAGTTATTCACAATACAAAACACTTATGGGCACAAATAGTATATTTTTTCTGCAAATGATCCAATACATAATTATCTGCCCAATTTGGCTAGTGTCTAATTGGACACACAATCTTTTATGCTAACAACAAAAGACAAAAGGAAGCATTTTCACCCACCATTTTAAAAGTTGAAGCCTATTTATTTTTCTATTATAAGTACATGATACAATACCGTTCATAAGGGTCTGAGATTTGAGAAAAAGATTTTATACTGTTTATGAACAAAGTCTCTTATGCTCAACAAGGCTGCATTTATTTGATCAAAAATACAGTAAAAATGTAACAATTTAAAACAACTATCTTGTATTTTTTTTAACAGGATTCTTTAACTACATTTAAAAAAAATAGAAATCATTTTTAATGTCATAAAAGTCTTAAAGGCACACTGTGGAATTTTTGGCCACTAGGGTGCGCTCGACCTGTAATTTTCACGTCTAGTGGCCCTAGAGGCCACAAGCGCCGCAGCATTGTCGCAAAAGTCAACCGGTCAACCTCCCGTGTCTTTATGTGTGTGCAGACGGCATTTGATTTGTATGTTGGAGAAAGTTAATCGATTCACTACTGACCAAAATAATAATATAAATATAAGATTAATAATATAAATCCTATAAAGAAAACAAATTGAATAAAAGTAGAAAACAATGTCTGATCAGGTAAGTCGCATTGACAAGGGTTGCCCAATCCTGCTCCTGCCGATCGTCTGTCCTGCACTGTTCATCTCCAACCCTAATCAAACACACCTGAAGCAAACAATTAACGTCTTCAGGATCTCTTTGCAATGGGTTGGAGATTAAATCGAGTAGTCGGGAAATCGTGTAACAAAACTGATATAACTCACTACATATTTCCGTTATTTGTAGTCTTCAGTTTGTTTTTCCTTTTACACAAATACAAACATATATGAGCTGAAAGGAAAAAAACCCATTTACATTTACATTTGTATACGGCAGTATGTTGTGACTGACTTATATCAGTTTTGTTACACGAATTCGCAGTAAATATTACATTATATATACACTTTTATGCCGATGTTTATTTTAAACTCTCCCTTTTTCTTTTTTTGGTCTCCTCTGACAAAATCTTTGCTTTCTTCGCTTTCTTCCGAGTAGCTGTTGATTCAGCCATGACGACAACATACAGACGCCGGCAATCCGCGAGTTGAGCTCTCAAGTTAGAATTTGAGGAAGTTGGGGTGGTGGGGGAAGTGACGTATGCCGTAAAGCGGTCGAATTTTGTAGTTCTTTTTGTGCTCGGGTTCCTACCCGAAACCCGAAGTTACATAGTGCTAGTAAAAGCGATACAGACACCTTCAGGCTTCGGCAGACGTGTCATTCAACCTATTGTAAGTCGATGTACCATCTCAATGGGTTTTGGTAATATATTATAAAGGTTGAAAAGTTCCACAGTGTGCCTTTAAATGTCACTTTTGATCGAGAATATTCCTTTAAAAAAACACATTAGCGTATGTTTAATTGCATTTTACAATTTGCATTTAACATGGTTCTTCCCTGATGTCAGTGATGCTATGAGAACAACAACCTGTTTTTGAGATCATTACCGAGTCGCAGTGTTGGGCCATACCGTTCAAACCTTCCTAAAGATCTGTCTAAGCAGAGTTTGACTACATTTCAGGTAAAAGCTGGTGGTAGTGCAACAGATTTGAGGATTTTGTCCTTTTCTCCATCCATGTATTTATGTAATTGACTAAAACCGGTGTGTCGTTTTGTACCACGACACCTCTCAGGACTAACATTACAGCTGTCACCTCCCACTGCATGGGATCGCTCACAATTTACCACCAGTTTGTGGGATCCAGTTACTCAACCCCGCAAGGACACATTCACTGGAAGAGAGGGAAGGCGGTTCCAAGACAAAGCCCGGTGAGTAAGATTCAAAAGAGGGAAACTGGACCCTGGCGGGCTGCGTTATCAGAGTTTTGTGTCGAAATAATTAGCCTGCTTAACGCGCCATCTGGGCCCTCCTCCGCTGGCAGGGAACGGGTACCAGATGCCACCTGGCTCATTCTGCCGCAGCGGTAGAAACAAACTCTGCATCGCCTCTCTGCTGGGCCCTAAACGCTGCGCCGAAGGGCTGGAAAACTCCCGATGAAACCGTCGAGATGGCACATTACGTGCCGACCACTTCATTATCTGAGAGCTTAGCATCTTTTAGAGGTCCAGAGCACACTAAACTGCGCCACAGGACGTAGATTGCATTGTCAACAATGCCATTATCTTTAAAGGACGTAAAAACTTCAACAAATTCAATCCGGACTGTAAATTCGGAATAATTTGTTTGGGAATTCTCGTCCCACGTGAATTCGAATCTTAAAAGTAATGACTCCCAGAGAAAGCGCTTGTGTTGTAGACTGTTGAGACGGCTAAAGAGATAAAGTTTAGCACGTCCACTACTTCTAATTACCCAAACAAATCCATCACCTCCCAAATTTCCCAGGTTATCAATGAAAAGCAGCTGCCCTGTAATGTGACCGCTCCAGCTCTTTCAGCACTGACAGTGACAATGGGCAGAAATATTTGTTCGACTGGAAGAGGCCTGCTTGGTAACTTGATAAGGGTCTGAATTTACTTGATGAGGTAAAAAGTTCCTGAGCTCAGCAGCATGAGGCTGACGGTCCCCTGAGGGCGGCTGAGAAACCGTATCTGCCCTGTAGGAGCTTCCCCTTTGGTAAGCACTTCTTATCACGAGGCCATCACGGCTGGCCGATAGCGCTGGGTAATATCCAGTAACAGCAGTCTTATGTGAGATCCAATACACGGATCAATCCTCAGGCCAGAGAGCTCTCATTATCCTCCACAGGCTTTCTTATCCGCGGAGACCGCGCAAAACACCAATATCATACACATAAACCTTCTTATCTAGGAGAATAATGACAGTTTGGTGTGTTCTTAGCCGTTTAGGTCTTATTAAAGACATCAGGACACATATACATGTTTACTGCAGGGCCTCAAAAATATAGTCGAGAAGGTATCATCACAATGCGACGAGTTCTCCGCCAACTGCACACCGCTCCCTTATGGGCGACTTTACAATGCAGTAGTGCAGTAAATGTGTGTGTTGGAGCCTGATGATGGGAAGACACAAGAGATTGAGATAAGAAAAAAAGAGGCAAGAAAACAGGGATATGAGAAAGATAGACAGGAAGGGAGAAAGACAGAGACATTGGGAGCGATGGGACTCTGAAACCCCAGCTCCATTCCTTTGGGGACGCCTATATACTGGCGCACATTCCCCCATGTGACCAAAGAAAGGAAAAAAAAAAAACTCACACTCGTCTCCACAAGAGCGACTCATTCTAATTCACACTAAACAAGCAGGTAAAAAAACAAATACTCAGCGAAGGCACGGTAATAATGCAAAGATCCTGAATGACTGACGCGACAGACACCCGAAGAAAATTGGAAAACTTTTAATACACAACTGTCATTGAATGCTTTATCGGACCAAACAAAATATTTAGAGCTCCAGAAGATATTTGCATAATTTTCCTTTATACAGAAGTCTGTTTGAAGGAAATGCACTTTACTCATAAAGCATGCAAATTTAATTTTGCAGAGCAATAATAATACATATATAAAAGGCCAATTGGATGTATTAATTTGCCAGAAATGACTCTCAATAACCATATTTAAATATATCTGAAATGATTCCAGTCAAAGCACTCATGTTTGCATGAATGGCCTCTTACATTCTGTGGCCTTAAATGTTACTGTTCCTTTATTAAAAGTCAATGGATTTCAATGGATTTTAAAAACTACACTTCACATTGTATGCGTGTCCTCGGACTTTAAAGAAACATAAGACAGCCTCCATACAAACATAAGACAGCTTCACAGTTTGAAATAACAGAAAAGTAGATGAGTAATTATCCACAATTAGAACAATACCATCCAGTACAAACAGACGATTCCCAGGACTGCTAAACTACGAGCCGGGCGGCTGCTGTCCAGTAAAACCAGCTTGTGTTTCTTACCTCCAGTGAGGAGCTGGTATCTAGAGGGGAAGGTCAGGACCTCTCGGCGGATCTCATTTGGCTCCAGCAGGACGGAGCGGCGCAGCGAGCGGGAGGGAGTAAATCAGGGACAGAGAAGCAGGGTAAAGAGGAGCTCCATGCTGGGGCGAGAGACGACTGCTCGAGCCGGGCCGGGTGGACGGCTTCTTTTGCCTCTCCCTGAATGAAAGCAATCCCTGAGACTGAATGGGTAATGAGATCCCGGCTCCTGAGATTTTAGCTTTCTTAATCATGTTCATAATTAATTCAAGAACATTGATAATTTCATTACATTCTTTTTGTCTTATCAATAAATGATGTGCCTGCACTTTTGGTCTTGTGTACCGGAGAGAGAGAGAGAGAAAGAGAGAGAGTGAAAGAGAGAGAGAAGGGGAGATGCTGAGAGTAATACAGTACTATAGGCAAGATGAGATGAATACGATACAAACAGCGAAGTGGTAATTATAATCTTTGACCAGGCCACCAGCAGCACAATATGAAGTCAAGTGGGCACTAATAATTAATAAGGCCTTTTGCTCAGAGTGTGTTTGATTACAAGACGCGTGTTTTGCATGTCTACGCACATGCCGTGAGGCCACAATTAGAAGTGACTTTAAAAATGAGCACTTTTTAATTTCGGAGGTTGGTGCATGTCAATTATGCTCATGTTAATTAACACCAAGATTTTAGGTTACAGTTTATATTGGAAAATGTATATTCAGTGTCTAATGGTTAGTGATGTGACTAACCATTTTTTATTTTTCATCAACGTTAATCACTTTTTTTTTTGCCTAGTTCATTTAAACAGCCCTGCGGTAAAACAAATTAACTTAATTAATTGAAAAACTGCATAATAATAAAATACGCATAATAATAATAAAAAACGAAATAAAGTATTAAACAAATAGACAATGTAAAATAAATCCAGTTTTTTTTTATTTAAATTTCAAATATTTTATCAAAAATCTCTTTTTTCACACGCTGAATTCAAAAGATCACATGCTGGACTCATAAAGATGTCGCCTTGAATCCAATATTGCAAAAATATATAAAAAAAGTGATATAAAAAGAAAGATTATAAGACAGAGCTTTCTGTCTCTGCAAAAGTTAATGAGGTTCTATGCATTTTTAATGGATCATTGTGACAAATTCCACGAGCCAACCACCTCTGTTTAAAGCATGAGAATACGTTATGCTCTTTTATCGACTTTTTCTAAAAAATCTATGACAGTATATGTCCTACAAATAAATGAAATGAGGATTTTATAACTCAGGTTGAACCAGTGATGATTATGTTACTGCTTTGTTTACATTTACAAATAAGCTTGACTTGAGCAAGTAAAGGAGATTGAGGCAGAAAGCGCGAGTACAGTAATTTGATGGATGTGACTGACCCCGTTTATTGGGCAGTGAATGATAAGCCTCAGTGGGCGGGTTAATCTGATAACAAGCACAGCAGAAATATCTCGTAAGGAACTAAACGCAATCACTCAGAGGCTGGTCAGCGCTCAGACCGGGTGACTATGATTGATACACGGACACACCATCCGTTCCTCGACAGGAACAAAACCGGCGACACATTACGCTGATATCAGCGCTGTAACACAACAGCATTAGGCCTGTGATGCAAAGAAACCAGCTGTAATGCAGGTGGACGTAAAATATCCGAGATGAAAATGTATTTATAGTCTTATTTACACGCCCTAATAAAAAGAACACAATTTATGGAGGTCATTTTGAAGGCACTTGATATAAGATGCCCACATGATGTTTTTTGCATTCTTCACCCGCACACATTTTAATCACATTTTCTGTGATCTATGCGTGCCACTCTCATCTGTGCCGTGACGTTTGCGTTTGCCCTTCCCAGAACAGATTGCCACAGTGGATGTAATGATGGCCCTGCCCAGCTGTGCTTCAGAGGGCCAGTGGATGATAGTATTTCCATAATAATCCACCCTCGGCTCCCAGGGGCCCCTTGAGAGAGGTACGGATGGAGGAAGAGGGGTGTAGCGGAGCCCAGGACTGTCGGGGCTGAGTGGAGCCTCATCTGTGGTGTGAAGGGGGGGGGGGGGGGGGGGGGGGGGGGGCACGAGCGAGTCGTGTGGCTCAACCAGCCTGTAGGCAATGCAATAAAACCAGCGCACGCTGCTCCTCTCTGCACCGCGACGCATGGCCCACCACTAAAACTGCACCCGCGGAGGAGAATAAATTTGAGGCTGGAGAGAGAGAAAGAGAGAGGAAGGGGGTGGTGGGAAACAGCTAGAGAACAGACTTTGCTACTAACAATTAGGGTGGCATCCCACGCTCTCCATTAGAGAAGTGTTTTTATGCATGCATTCATTTTGTGCCTGGTCTTTGAATTAGAAAATGCATTCTTGTGTTTAGTCTACGCTTAACTTTTGGTTTATGAGGGCATGCGCCATATTGGTCGCGGTCACTGTTTCTGTTTTTTTTCCTTATTTTTATATGTGTCTAAGTTAAAAATAGATCCACTTTTGTCATGGAACCCTGCAGACCAATGTCAGTTTGTAAAAAAAGATCTAATCAGATGAATCTGAGGGCAGGACAAGCATCTTAAGAGAGCTCTAAGTCTACACTATACCGCTTAAAAGTTTCAGGACAGTAAGATTTGTAATTTTTTAAAGGAAATTATTACTTTTATTCAGCGAGTGACAGTAAGACGTTTATAATGTTATTAAATCTTTCTATTTCAAATGCTCTTTTGAACTTCCTGTTCATCTAAAAATGCTGAAACAAAAATGTATCAGTTTCTAAACCTGTTTTTAACATTTAATAATAATCAGGAATGTTTCTTGAGCAGCAGCAGCATATTAGTATGATTTCTGAAGGATCATGTGACACTGAAGACTGGAGTAATGATGCTGAAAATTTAGATTTGCATCACATTACATTTTTATATGCAACTTTTTTACTATATTTTTTATCAAAGAAATGCATTGGTGAGCATAAGAGACCTCTTTCAAATACATTTCTCTTTTGAACAGTAGTCAATATTTGTTGTAAAGTCAGTAATTTATTCAATACTTACAGAGCCCCTAGGACATGGTGGTGAAAAAAAAAAGATATAATAAGTCAATGCTTTTGTGTTCTCTCACAAATGTTTTGTGTTTCCCCCGATAAACTTTGCGTTTGCTCGCAAAACCTTTTGAGTTCTTTGCGGGCGAACGCAAAGTTTCTCAGGGGAACGCAAAACTTTTGCGACAGAGCCCAAAAGCATAGACAAATAATTGTTCCTACATCTCATGTTTTTTTTTCCACCATTTCTATTTAGGGGCTACGTAAATATTAACCTGATCTCACAGGAAAACGTAACTGTGTTACTTGGTGGGAATTTCCCATGAATTTGTACGATGTGAATCGTACACAAATGTACGACTATTAGAAAAAAGTAGGAATGAAGGATCACCCCTAAACCTAGCCATCACTGGGGCGTAAGCAGATCGTACAAACATGTACGAACGAGATCGTATGCCTTCATACGCATAGCCCCCAATTCAGCAAAACGTAAAATAATTACAAATTGCCACGAGATGTTGTCAACACTGGCTTCAAGCCATCAACAAACAGAACTGCAGAAATAATGCCTGTTTCCAAACACGTTTCCCATCTGTCATTGGTTGAACAAACAACTGGCCCCACCCCTGGTCAGGATAACAAACAGAGCAAAGTTTTTAAAGAGGAATCATCCCACAGAATACTTATTTATAGTTCTTTCTGGCCCGGTTTCACAGCAGGGCTCATGTTAAGCCAGGATTAGGCCTTAGTTTAATTAGGGCATTTAAGTAGCTTTTATAAACGTGCCGTAGAAAAAAAACATTCCTTGTGTGCATCTTGAGAGACAAAATGGCACTGACATATTTTAAGATTTGCCAATGCAGGTTGACTTCCAGTTAAAACAGCTCAAACATGCATTTTAGTCTGAGACTAGGCTTAAACCTTGTCTGTGAAACTGGGGGTCTGTGTTTTAAGCTGGAGTGGTTTAACAAAAACGAGTTACACAAATAATCTTTACGCAGGAACACATCTGGTTTGAACGTCTCCAAAGATGTTTTACTCCTCCTTTGCAAGCTTTAAGCACAGTTTCTGACACATAATGGATAATTCCAGATGCCGTGAGGCTTCAATACATGATACAAAATGTAAAGAACCGGATGCCGCTCCGACTTTTAAAGGGCAGGGTTGCGAAAGGGCAACGAAAGGTGCCTGAGCTGTGGAGGGGGCGTCAGCTGCGGCTCGACTGTGGCTTAGGAAAGAGCCCCATGGACAGCAGGGGCCCCTCATCTCCATGACACACTCTCTCGCACCGCAGCGATCGCGGTCAGGGGCCACGCTAATCAATACACGGAGCCTGCAGGAGTGCGGGGGAAATGTCTTAATGTCCTCAAGATGTGCGCGACTCATTCTGGTTTGCCAGCGACGCAAAAACCACTGGCATGACGTTGGGGTGTGTGTGTGTGTGTGGGGAGGGGGGACAGAGAAAGAGGGATAGAGGGCAGGCTAATTAATGTAAGCATTTGCCAGTGATTAAGCTTTAAACAGAAAGGTCAGCTGAGCAGCGGAGCAAGGCCTGTCCCAGCGCCTTGCTCTTAGGGCAGTCTAAACCTTTCCAGCTTAAATGGTAAAGATGCCATTTCATGATGGGGGAGCATGGGACACATGTAGGCCTGACACACGGGTCATTGGCTCGCCACCCTCCATTACCCGGCCAAGGCAAATGTGCCGATCTGTGTCATTTAAGGAATGAAAAATAAGGCCTCCGACAAGATCAATAGATCCTGCGGTTCTCAACCGGCTGTGATTAATTGACTGTCACCAATTAATGGGGGAAAGATTACAAACCATTGTCTGAAGCATATGTGGGCAAAATACAATCTTTAGAGTATCTGAACTGTTCCAATAATATGATCTGAACTAGATTTTTACATGTGCAATTGGAAATAAATATTTTCAAACTAATTTCACAAGACTTCTCTACCTCTCATTTGTCTTTCAAACACATAGTTATGCATCAAATACACTGACCATAATCAATACGCATCATGTTGCAACTGTGCCTGGTTGTATAAATCATCAGAACTTTGGGAATAATTATAATATAACATAATATACACTATTGTTCAAAAGCTAAAGAGGTCAGTAAGATTATTTAAAAAAAAGATATTAACACTTTTATTCAGTAAGGATGCATTAAATATTTAAATTGTTTCAAATAAATGCTGTTCTTTCGAGCTTTCTATTCATCAAAGCATCCTAAAAAAATGTATCATCTGTTTTTAATGTTGACAATAATAAGTGCAGTTTCTTGAGCAGCAAATCAGAATATTAGAATGATTTCTGAAGGATCATGTGACACTGAAGACTGGAGTAATGATGCTGAAAATGCAGTTTTGATCACAGGAATAAATTACATTTTAAAATATATTACAATAGAAAGAAGTTATTTTAAATTGTAATAATGTTTACAATATTACTGGTTTCACTGTATTATTGATCAAATAAATGCAACCTTGGAGAGCATAAAAGACTTCCAAAAACTTCTTTTTTTTTTTAAATGCACCGACCCCAAACATTTGAACAGTAGTGTATAATATAATAAATTAGTCCTCAGCAAATCAAATCAACCCATACCTCTCTATTAACAACGTCATCTCCGGATGGGCCTTTTTGCAGACTTATGTGTCATCCAACTGCTCTGGATGAATCATTTCACTGGAGACTTGTGGTGAAATGGACATCTCTTGTTGACACAGCTCTTGTTCCACTTACGAACGATGAAGTGAGTAGCAAGCGATTTTTGTGTGTATTTCTGAGATGCTGATCCCACTGACAGGAGAGACAAAAGGGGGAGGTGGTTCTGTAAAAATAAGAAAACAAGGCAAATTTATGTTATTATGTAAGAGCGTGCTCAGCAGTTTGGTCTTTGCTTACAAATGTGTGCAAACTCTCTCTCCACGAATGTTTCGACATGCAGATGTCTAAATCTGAGTTGCAGACCTACTGGCGTACAGTTTGACTACTCATAGTCTAGACAAAGTAAAGTCTCCTTGGGCTGTGTTGACATGACAGACCTGCAACAAATGACAGTAGTGTAGTCGCAGCACCAATAGTCCGCTTGATGCAATCAATGTACAACATTGTTTTGCATCAGTTCGATGCTAATGAAGTTATCTCACAAGCGCTCAGCCACTGGGTCTGTCATTATGGGATAATAAAGCCATCATTTGGCGATGACCAATGAATTATGAGATCGAATAAAAATGAAGTAAAACGGTTTACACTGTTGTAATAAAACTCTTGAAACAAAGAGCCGGAAGAAAGAACAGGAGGGACAGAGAAGCATTTTGATTAGTAAAAAAAATGATTGGCTTTTATTTGCTATTAAGCAAATAAAATATATATTTTTTTTTTATCTAATAGTGATTCATTGTGAAAATACCAAGTGTTAATGCCCTTAAGAGCAACCTGATCACTCAGACATCAGGCTGTGATTTAAGATTTAAGATGCAATTTATTCAAGTAGGCTACATTTGTTCAGGCCATATACATAAAATGTATTCCTCCCAAACATGACTACTTTAACAATTATGTTTTGCCTATGCTACACTGACAAAGTTGGTCTACCTGCAGCAATAATCACCTTAGCCTACCATAAAAGACCAGAAATAAAGAATTTTTCAGACTGTCTATAATAAGTGAAGTTTATATTACTGCACAACAACCATCTTATTAACTACTAATAATCTTTTTATCATTATAAATGTGTTTAGGTTAATTTTTAGGTGCGTTCACACCATTTCGTAATTACCGTAATTACGAGATCGAGATTCCAACTTGTAAAAAGCGTTCACGTCCGCGTAGAACTCGTAATTACAGCTTGTAAACTGGAAATTTTCTGAGAGCTCCTACCACTTGACCACTGCATATTCATTTAGGTGTTGATATTGCCATTGAAACGCATAATCCACAGTCCGAGCCGCCGAGGACGTGAACAGCTCTGAGTAGAACGTCACGTGTTGTCATCTCGAAACTACCGTAATTACGACATGGCGTGAACGCAGCATTGTTTGTTGCTGAACGGTAACTGAAGGAAAACATCAAGATTCTTTTTTAGCAGTGAATGAATGTGATATACTAGATACGGAGGAATTAGTGGAGAGACCATAAATTCTATAAATACAAAACTTTGCTTTATAAAAGGCAAGCATTAATAACCGCAATCGTTTACACAGTGAGAAAGTACAGCAGTCTGAGGCAGACGCGTTTCGCTGTAGTTTAGTACTCGGCGCTTGCCGTAGTCGCGTGTGCTGCTCTTACTTTGTTTCTGTTGGAGGGAGTTTTGGATCATGTTTCTAATCTCTGAGGACTAAATCATGGCGCAAAGTTTTCAAAACGTCACTCTTTCATTGACTTTACCGATATCCTGCCAGATTTGCCTCGGAAAGGTAACACTTTAATACACTTAGTATAAATACGGCAGGAGTTGAACACAAAGTTATGCAGTGCGCGCGTGTAGCCTACTTCATGTTTGTTGATAGTTGACGCATCTCGGTCTTTAAATTAAAACCACGTTAATGTAATATGCAGTTATTTTATAATCTATCAGTGAAGATACTGTGTAAAAATACGTGCATGTAAAGATAATAACGTTTCTGTAACTCAAAACAGCGAGTTTTTTTTTTATTACAATAGAGAGCACCAAGAGTCCCTTCTGATTTAGTTTTCTCCCAAAACACAAATTAACAAAAACGACCATTCCAGCCCTCACCTGAACACTGTGCTCTGCTGTTAATGAATCCCTGAAAGAAGCACAGAGGGTGATGTCAGATAAAATGGACCAGATAAGCAGGAATGTTAAAGGGATAACGTTAGTTCACCCAAAAAATTAAAATTCTGTCATCATTTAACGTTAGTCACCCTCAAGTTGCTCCAAACCTGTATTAATTGATGGGCACCATTGACTTATATTCCATTGAGTATTTGTTTCCCATACTATGGAGGTCAATGGGGCCCATCAACTGTTTGATTCCCCATACTCTTCAAAATATCATCTTTTGTGTTCAGCAGAAGAAAGGAATCCATACAGGTTTGGTACAACTTGAGGGTGAGTAAATGATGACAGAATTTAAATTTTAGGGTGAACTATCCCTTAAATGTTAACAACAGTCATGATGTTGCATTTACCTTTTGGTCTGCTCTTAACTACGCCTCAAAGGTGCGTCAGCCGGTCATTTGTTGCAACAACCATGTGTTCTGCTCCAACTGTATCAAAGTTTGGCTGGAGAAGAGCAGTCAATGTCCCACCTGTCGAGTGGCCATCACCCCAGAAAACCCCTGCAGAGAAATCATTGGTAATAATGAGACCTCACAATCATATCTTGTTATCTTTTCAATGTAAGCTATGGAACATTGTTTGTTTTAGGCAAGATGAGTGTGATTAAATATCTATCTCTCTTTCTTTCTCTTCTGTGTGTGTGTTTATGCTCACAGGAGCCACAACTGACAGTGAATCCAATGAGAGCTCTTCTGTGAAGAGACGCCTCCGAAAGACTCGAGGGGAGCTGCTTTTGCGAGAATATGAGGTATTTTTGCTCAAAGACCCAATGAAATGGTTTGATTAATACAAATTTCTTTCCTGTATTGAAATTTCGTAGAGTGGAGTTTCCCTCCGAAATCTGTGCAGAAAACTGCTAAGCTTCTAGACTCTAAATTGGATTTCATGTGATCTTCAACACGTTTTAATACACTGCCCTGCCAAAAATGTCGCTGTTTGGATTTAAATGCTTAAGAGTCTATGATTGGATCATTGTTGCAGTGAATATTAGGTTTCTAGCATGTTAGTGTTTGGCAACCGCACCTTTAACCCTATTTGATGGAGTGTGTAGCTTTTCATTTCTTAAGCAAACCTGTAGGAAGACACATCATGGCCATATTCCAGGATGACAATGCAATGCACCTCTTGATGGAAATAACATCACAACATTTATTTCCATCATTTTTTGTCAAGATGTTTAATGTCAATGCAAAAGTCTCCTCCAGCACATCCCAAAGACTCTCAATGAGTTTCAGATCTGGACTCAGAGGAGCCGATTCATATGTGAAAATGATTCTTCATGCTCCTCCCAACCATTCTCTCACAGTTTGATCCTGATGAATCTTGACATTGTCATCCTGGAATATGGCTATGATGTGTCTTCCTGCATGTTTGTTTAAGAAATGAAAAGCTACACAAGAATGGTTGCCAAACACTAACATGCTAGAAACATAATGATCACTGATCCAATCATAGACTCTTAAAGGAACACTCCGACTTTTTGGGACTTTAGCCTATTCACCTTATCCCCCAGAGTTAGATAAGTCCATACATACCTTTTTCTTCTCCGTGCATGCTATAAGTCTGTTTGACGCACCCACCGCTAGCCTAGCTTAGCACAAAGACTGGATGTAAATGGTTGCAGCTAGCATACTAATCCAAATAAGTGACAAAATAACGGAAACATTTTCCTATTTACATGTTGTGATTTGTATAGTCACAGAGTGTACAAAAAACAAAGTCACATGAGACACAGACATATTTTAACCGTATAAATACTGGGAACTATATTCTCTGAAGGCGAAGCACTGCTACTTGGGCGGAGTGATAACCGCAGCACCTGAGACGCGCTCTCTCTGCTCCTCACCACGGCTCATCTCAGGTGCTGCGGTTATCACTCCGCCCAAGTAGCAGTGCTTCGCCTTCAGAGAATATAGTTCCCAGTATTTATACGGTTAAAATATGTCTGTGTCTCATGTGACTTTGTTTTTTGTACACTCTGTGACTATACAAATCACAACATGTAAATAGGAAAATGTTTGCGTTATTTTGTCACTTATTTGGATTAGTATGCTAGCTGCAACCATTAACATCCAGTCTTTGTGCTAAGCTAGGCTAGCGGTGGGTGCGTCAAACAGACTTATAGCACGCACGGAGATGAAAAAGGTATGTATGGACTTATCTAACTCTGGGGGATAAGGTGAATAGGCTAAAGTCCCAAAAAGTCGGAGTGTTCCTTTAAGCATTTGACTATTTAAATCCAAACAGCAACTTTTTTTTGGCCGGGCAGTGTAAAATATGCCTGTAAAAAAAAATTGACCTAGCTATGCAACGAAAGCCAGAGCTTATGAATCATCTGTCTTACAGGATGAAATCGAAACCCTCTTGAAAGAGAACGAGGACTTGAAAAGCAAAAACCTGAGCCTTGAGATGCAACTTAAGACCGCTCTGGAACCGAGCACGGTCTTGGTTCCTCAGAGCGAAAGCAGTACTGTTGACCCGAGCGCTCTGGAGGTGTCGGCCAATAAGCTGAGAGCTGCCAATGACCTCTACAGGAATGTCAAACAGGACCTCGAAAAGCTGAAGGAAGTATGAATGGGATTGTAAAAAAAAATCAAATAAAAAACTAGACACTGGCCAAAAAAAGCGCAAAACTAGAAATATCGCTCCATAATTTAGCCATTTTGAGATAATCTGCATTAACTGTGTTTTAATTTATTGTGATTGTGATTTAAACTAAAGTTGTAGTGTTATTTTCATAAATCATCTCTTGTTAGTGGATAATAATTTTGTTTTCAAATATTTTGTTGAAAATTCTGAGGAAACATGTCAAATGATTTTTTTTTTTTAATGTGAGAAATTGTCTCATTTGCTATCATCTAACTATTTTATACATATTTTTGGCATTATTTGGGCTACTTTCTAAACATCAGCATTGGTATCAGTTGTTGGAAACCCCTTATCATTCATATCATATTACAGTAAAGAGATATGGTTTGGTGCTTAGTCCACATCTAGAGCATATATATATATGTATATAGTCCCAGCTTTTCTCTATATTCTAGATGAATTTTCACTGACTGTTGGAAATATGGGAAAGGGTGTTATTTGTCTTCTGTGCTTAAAAAAAAAAAAGGAAAAAAAGCAACTATTCTGAAAGAAACATGCTTCTTTCCCTCAGGCTAACAAAACTCTGCGGTCCCAAAATTTTGACCTAATCCAGGAAAATATGCACTTGAAAGCAGAAGTGGACAGCAGATCTCCTCAAAAGTAAGCACAATGTTCATTATACAATGTTGGTGAAGTGTACTGACTTGCATTTAGAGTTAGATTAAACATTGACAACAACAAATAAAATATTCATGTTTTATATTTCTGGATATTTACACATTAGTAACTCAGATCTTGGTTTGTCTGTGTTTTACATTGAGGTTTGGCCGGTATACGGTTGCAGCTCTCGAGGCTAAAATTCATCAGTATGAGCGGGACGTGGCCCAGCTGAAAAGAGCTCTGGAGCGCAGCGATAAATACATCGAAGAGCTTGAAGCCCAGAACCAGAGGGATGACCCTCAGCCTGAAGAAGGTGTATGTTCAAACGCTGCCTCTGGAGGGACTCAAAACGGAGGGATTGAAAGGATTGCCCTGATGCGAAGGAGCCTGAGTGAAATGGAGGAAACTTCTGTTTGTACAGACCTGGACCGAAAGTGTTCAGAGCTTCCCAACAACCACGGGCACCTCCTGACTACATCTGATGCGTGTTTTCTAGGAGGGACCTTGAGTCCACAGAAGGATGGACTCAAAGAAGTTACCGTTCCCTCTACGCCCTCCTCGGCTCTCAGATCTCTGAGCTTGAAGAGTCCTGTGGTGTGTAGTGACCGAAAGTTGGGTCTCAAACCTCTCACTTACCTGAGAAGACTGAGTTTTGATGATTGCCAGGGCCCAGCCAGCTCATCCTCAATCAACCAAAGCCCAGGATCCTTCCAAGGCAACAAAGGGGCTCCTTTCAGTCAGAAGACCGCTGTGAATTCAGACAGAGAGGTCTTGTGTGGAGGCTGGATGGACTGCGGACCTGAGCTGCCCCATCTGGAGGAAAACAGAGAGAAGTTGGAGCCGTCCGAGGACCCTACGGGAAACAGTGAGGCTTGTATGGATGCAGCGTACCTGGACAAGATCTCTGAGCTGGACTCTATGATGGCTGAGGGTGAGAGCTCCAACAGTCAGGTCTCTCACCTTCCCCTGACATCATCCTCATCCTCACGCTCTCCAGACTTTGATGCCACCCAAATACCAGAACTGGATTTCTGTAGCAACCTCTTGGCTGATCCTGGAACAGCAGGAGAGCACCAAACCACATCTTTGACACAGGAGACCACCCATTGTGATGTTGAGGTCAGTGACAGAGCTGGAGATACGGTGGAAAATCCCGGCCAGCCCACCAAACGCAAGTGTCCCACAGGATCGTCCGTCTCCAGCCCCTCCAAACTCTCCAAACTAAAGTAGAAGCAGAAATATTTGAAGTATTTTACAGCATGATCTTCCAGCATGAATTCAATGACTTTTCAGGAGAACAACAAGATTGAACTGCCTTTCTGTTCCATCAGGGCTTTTTATTACACATTTGCCTCACTGTTCATTATGATGACAGCAGTGAGCGCTGGATCATGTTACTGTATGATATAAAAACCATTTCAGTATCCAGTAAGGTGTTACCATTACACTTTTCTCTTGAAATTAAAAATATTTTTCAATTTCACTTTTTGTGGTTGTACAGAATTACCTGGTATTCTGAATAAAGCTGTATTTAAACTGTGAGAACAATAAATGCTATTCGTGCATACAGTTTGAAAGTCATTTTCTGTTTTTCAGATATTTTCGTAAATGTTTTTGTACCTGGGTGTTATCTAAATAAAAAAAACTTTTGTATGCCTATCATTTATAGTTTCATTTTCACATGTTCAAGACCTTTGATTTAGTGTTATGACAACAACAGTAAACGTCGTCATTTTAGTAATAGTGCACGCAAACACATTGTGTTTCTGTGTTCAGTGCTGAATTATTTCATGTGTCAGCACCGGAATACTAAACAAATCCATTTACTACCCACCTCCTTCACAGTCTTTTAAAGAATTAATTAATGCTAGTGAATTAACACTTCATTAGCTCCAACTAAAAGCGCTGGGCGATTAAAAATTCATGCAGTGATTAGAGTTTAGTGAAATATACATGATGGTTAAAGTTGCGTAATCAATCAAGGCAATGCCACCATGACGCGTTAACGTGAAGGAAATTTAAATATTCAAATACAATATATATCTAAAATATATACAGATTATATTTTGATGTCTGCGAATTTCTGTTGACGTCATTTGTAATGTATGAATATTTATGTCTAAAATGTCTAAAACGATTTTCGTTATATATTATGCAATTATGAATTCGTTTTTCTTTTTCCCCTTTATCTTATCTGATATATAGAGTTGCTTAATGAATCAACGCGCTGCAACCATAAACATGAGCTAAATTAAAATATTCACGTTTGCTAATTCTCCTGAGACTGAAATAAACGAATAGCTACGGAATCAACAATGCTTCAATTTTATTGATGCATTTTATTTTTGCAAACGATTAATAAAAATAAAATGAAATTAATTATGCAGTTAAACTATATATTTCATGTTTCCATTTTGCTTTTATTTCATTCATTAAAATAAATATGCTTATCATAAACATTTTAATATTATTAAAAAACACAATTATGCCAAATTTAAAAGTGTCTGATTAGATTGGATGTATTTTATTTTTTACGTAATAAGCTTTGAACAATTTTTTTATTTTTTTATTCAGACATTTACACAGACAGCCCTCATTTGCATATCGAATGTTGGCGCTTGCACTGTTACCGTTTAAACTAAAGCAACAAACAACATTCTAAATGAGCGAAGGCTGCACGCATGCGCGCGGAATCCACAGGTATGGAAGCCCCCCTCTCCGTCATTAGGCCGATTTACAGTTCGAGGAGGACAAGAGACGAGAAGAGGCGCGATGAGATGAGAGGAGAGGAGGAGAAGAGAGTCAATCGCGCTCGTCTCGCGAGAATAGGCGAGGCTGCCGGACGAGATGTGAGGGACTCAGGTGTAAGAGCGCTCCTCATCCACACACAGCAGAGCCAAACAGAGACGCACACACACACACACACACTGCGGGCATCTTCTCTGTACCATCAGCAGCCGAGCGCTACCGCATCCGCCCGACGCCAGAAGAGGAGGCGGGAGGACCTGGCCTCTCTCGCTTTGGGTTTTATCCTCCTTTCGTGCACTTTATCTAAACTGGATCTAGCGCAAACATGATGTCCATGAACAGCAAACAGGCGCATTTCGCCATGCATCCCAGCTTACCTGAGCACAAGTACACATCTCTGCACTCGAGCTCGGAGGCGATCAGGAGAGCCTGTCTGCAGACTCCACAGGTAAACGAGCTCCAAACTTCTGCTTTTCTCCTGCGTTCTCCTCTGCGCGCGAGGAGGAGCGCTGGAGGCGCATATTCTGCCTTAATGTTTTTTTCATGTATTCCACAGCAATCATCCGCACGCCTGTGATCTTTTCTGAAGGCATGCTCACTGAAGGCTCAGGCTTCAGCCTTTTTTGTATTAATTTTTATGACTGGAAGCCTCTTAAAAGGAATATTCTCTCTGTGTTATGTGTTGACACTATTCCCCAGCTGACATCTCCACTTTCTTTCTGTTTCTCTGTTTTTCTCGCTCTCTCTCTCTCTCTCCGACTCCTCCAGCTACAAAGCAACATATTCGCCAGTCTGGATGAGACGCTCCTGGCCCGCGCCGAAGCTCTGGCGGCCGTGGACATGGCCGTGTCCCAGGGTAAGAGTCACCCGTTCAAGCCCGACGCCACGTACCACACGATGAACACCGTGCCATGCTCGTCCACCTCCACCGTGCCACTCGCCCACCACCACCACCACCACCATCACCACCACCACCAGAACCTGGAGCCGCCCGACCTCATGGAGCACATCAGCTCTCCGTCGCTCGCGCTGATGCCCAGCGGTCACGAAGGGGCCGGTGGTGGAGGCGGAGGAGGAGGCGGCGGGGGCCTGATCTCCTCGTCGGCCCACCCGCACTCACACATGCACGGGCTCACCCACCTGTCCCACCAGGCAGCTATGAACATGAACTCGCCGCTCACTCACCACGGACTCTTACCGGGCCACCACGGCGGTGCGCACCAGGGCGCGCCGGGACTCATCAACAACGGACTGCCCTCCATCAACGACTCGGACACGGACCCTAGGGAGCTGGAGGCGTTCGCGGAGCGCTTTAAACAGCGGAGGATCAAACTCGGGGTGACTCAGGCGGACGTGGGGGGCGCGCTGGCCAACCTGAAGATCCCAGGCGTGGGCTCCCTGAGCCAAAGTACCATTTGTCGCTTCGAGTCTCTAACTCTGTCGCACAACAACATGATCGCGCTCAAACCCATCCTCCAGGCGTGGCTGGAGGAGGCCGAGGGCGCCCAGCGCGAGAAAATGAGCAAACCCGACATTTTCAACGGCAGCGAGAAGAAGCGCAAGCGGACCTCCATAGCGGCCCCGGAGAAGCGATCTCTGGAGGCGTATTTCGCGGTCCAGCCTCGGCCGTCCTCGGAGAAAATCGCGGCTATAGCTGAGAAATTGGACCTCAAAAAGAACGTGGTGCGAGTATGGTTTTGCAACCAAAGACAAAAACAGAAGAGGTTGAAATTTTCCGCGGCTCACTGATGGACTACTTCTGTAGGGAAACAAACAACAAAACAAAACGGACTTTTGGGGACCAAGGAAAAGCGCTTTGGCTCAAACGCGTGTGCTCATGATTAGTACCGTTTGATTTTCACAACTCATGTTTCTTTTCACTGTATTGGTGAATGTGAAGTATGCAAATAACAGGTAATCCAGACGAACTACTTTTCTGCGGTTCAACTCTACATTTGTTTTTGTTGCCCCGATGACGTTTGTTCTGAATGACGAAAAATAGCCATTGATGGATTACCTCATAGTTTAATTCTATCCTATTTATGTATTTATTTATGTATTTATTTATGTTCAGCATATTTGTGTACTTATTCATTCGTAACAGGGAACTGCTATATTTTTGATTATTAAATGTGTTAAAAGCAGATCCCCTTTTCACAGTCTTGCTGATGAACTAATGTGATCATTCAAAGGTCTGCTCTGATGAATACACAACTGAACAGGAAAAGAAAAGTATACAGAGTCCCTTTTAAATAAAGGTGGCAACCACCGCTCGTATTTGTTGAAATTGCACTGAAATCTACTGTTATTTAGATTGGTTAGATATATTCTAATGCTTTTGTGTATATATATAAATATACGTACAAATGACACTTGCTCACCGTGCAAAACTGAATTCCCAGTTTATTTTTTTTTATTACTTATTATTATTTAGTCTGTTTATTATTGTTTTGGAAAATCAGAATTCTTCCTCTGCGGATATTAGTTAACTCGCATGATAAAGATGATTATATTTACAAAGCAAAATTGTCCTGAAATATAATTTCGTTGGTTTGTATACTTTGGTTTGCAGTGCAAACATTCTATGCATTGAAGAAAAAAAAAAGAATTACCAAGCACTACATAGAGTATCTACTGGTAGACCTTTGTGGATGGTGTGAGTCACTGTTTAATGCCTGTTTTCACATAAAGACACAACGTTGTTTGTCGTGTTAATTGTTCCTGAGAAAAAAAAAAAAAAGGTTGTAATGATTTTATTTTGTGCACACGTATGTTTACAAACAGCGGCCACGTGCGCATCACTCTGTCATACCTGTGCACCTGTCCAACAGTCTGCTGTCTCTCCATCTTCTCATCCACACTTCTCTCATTCTGTAAGCCAAATCCAGCTGCAGGGCTCCAGTCCCGGCGATCTTCTAAATAAACGATGGAAAATCAAAGTGGTGGCTGTCATTGGGGTGTATCTTATTCTATAGACATACACACTCAGACATATTTAGCTAATGTATGATTGTTTATATTTTGCCTACACATAAATGAGAAATGGGAAAAAATATTAATGTTTATTAGGATTGGACATGATCAGAGATATACATATACTCACAGTTATAGATACAGCACAATTACATTTAAAATACAAAATGTGCAAAAATGTGGACTTAAAAGTTTTATGCCATAATTAAAACGTGAAAGATAATTAACATGCAATGGCGCAAAAAAAAAAAAATCAACTAAATATTAACCAAACCCTTGCTCCAATAGCATTTCTTTCTTTCTTTCTTTCTTTCTTTCTTTCTTTCTTTCTTTCTTTCTTTCTTTCTTTCTTTCTTTCTTTCTTTCTTTCTTTCTTTCTTTCTTTCTTTCTTTCTTTCTATCAGCACAAATCTTTGATATACAGTCATTACTCCAGAAACATGCATTATTTATACATTTTTATTGCTCTTCATTTCCATGATCTGGATTTATCAGACTGCATTCCGTTAGACCAGTGAAAATAGTTTTTTTTAAACCACGAAATTCGCGTTTTTACTGACGAGGCGAGAAAATGTCTTCAATTTAACATAATAAATTGCAGACAAAATTGTAAATACATAAAATACAAAATGGTCTAATGAATAATTATAATAGGCTAATAATAATAATAATAATAATACTTTTTAATAAATGTCGCACGATTTCGGCAATTATTCTCCTTTAGCATTACATTTGAATAGGCCTATACCCTTACTACGGTTTATTAAATAATTCATGCCCTGTGGTTTGGAAAATTAATAAACGGAATACAACAAGACACTAATTAAAAAGCTCGGTAATTGTTATCGGCGCCCTAATGGGGTGTTAGTGTGTCAAACAAATGGAATTTTGGCCATGCACGTGTCGTCTAAATGAGGTAACATGAGCATTACATTAGATTTCCCTCTGAATAGAATTCTGCGATTCGATATCTGCTTATAATAGCAGCCGAAAACTCTTGGTATTATTTCCTCGAAACAGACCTGAAGGCTGTAGCTGAGATGATGGGGTTTTACCCTGCCGAACTGATAATAAACATTTCATGAAGCCTGAGAGAAGGCCGTCTCCAAACAGTCTCACCAAAGAAACGCGTCTAATTTCAAAAGTTTGTTTATTCATTAAAAAAAAAAAATGACACTGCACATCTTTCTCGCTGTAATATTGAAGAGAAATTCAGGGGGGAAGGGGAGGGGAGCTTTACATTTTGCTGCCTTTTAAAAAAGATATGTTATATGTAGGTGATGCAATATTAATCGCGCTTTGCTGATATAAAATGCAATATTTTCAGACAGCTATCGGGGTTTTTCAGGGAAGCACTTGATGAAAGCAGGTCGCAGCTGCAGTGCTGCTGCTGCTGGAGAAAGAAACATTTATTGCTCCTATTTGGCTTTTGGCAACGAACAGAAGAACGCAGTGAGTATATGGACATTTTCTTTGGGAAAGGATGATTTGACTGGCACTGAAAGTCTCCCAATCTACTCGTGCTTTTGGATCGTTTTGCAATTCGACGCTCTCTTGGCGCGACAGCATATTAAGTGAGAGAAATATTCATTTTCAGCTTTTCTGGCATCCAGCACTGCGCACACTTCAGATCCAGTATTTTTGTCTTCTATTTTATATAGAAAATTTCTACAAACGAATCTTTCCAAGAAAATATTCTCTCTAATTGTATTGCTGTTGTAGTTTTTATTCGACTATTTGCTGATATCGGATCCGTTTCTTCCCTCACACTATCAAATATTTTATTAAATAATCTAAAATGTATTCAAGGTAAAATCTAAATTAACTCGTTTATACAAGTCAAATACATAATCGACTGCATCAACCTGACTACATTAATTACAAATAATTGTATAGTATTTATTCTTATTTTTAAATTAAAATAATATAGCCTAATATGATCAAATAATATATATATATTTTTATAAATCAGCTAGAAGCAGTTAGCTTTTTACAGTGATGTCGGAGAAGTAATTATCATTTTATCATTTTCATTTTACTGTTTTTTTTTATTTAATTTCGCTAATCCCCCACACCGTTTAGCACTTTATTTTACAGTCCTGTTTCGCATGAACATATTGTAGTAATGACACAGGTACTACCTACCCCTAAACATTAACTTAACCCATAACCCATGTTACCTTACACTACTCAGTACTTAAGTTCACTGTAAGAAAAGTGCACGTACTGTAAAATAAAGTGCAACCCCTTTTTATATTAATTTAAAACTTCGAACTACGTGTTTCCATTGAGAAGCGCACGCTCCATATTTCAGCACCACGAACAGCTCCCTCGCAGATTGAAGAGTAATGCATTATTGAGAGTCTATATCAAACAGCTCTAGGCTGCTGCTGTCTTTCTGCCTGCACTAAAGCCTCTAATATGTTAATGGCCGGAGGGGATGCCGCAGGTACAGATCCCAGCTGCTTCATGAGCCATATGTCAGCCGGTTTGCCTCATGGATCTATTAATCAAGAGATACTTCATCAACACAACTCAACAGCATCCCACCCTCAAAGTTCAGCTGCTACAAACAGCAACAACAAGAACACCGACTAACCCATTTAAAGCGAAAAGAGAAACATTCTGTGGATGGATGTGAAAGAGAGAGAGAGAGAGAGAGAAAAAAAAGGTCTCTTCTGTTGTCTAGGTTATTTGCACGGTTAAACGAGCAGTGAGCATTATCAACCGTCGATAAAAAGAAATTATAATTGTTCTACCCGAAAAAAATCAACCCGCCTGGATAGCTTATTTTATTTCAAAATAATTATTTGATGTTTTTTTTTTCCACTGAGCAGAAAAAATGAGGTGAACTTGAAATAAAACTATTAATCTCAGATTTGGAAATGATTTATCAGCCTTAAATGTTCACTTCTTGTATTAAGGAAATTTAACAAGATTTAGCCAGTATGTAACTTTTTTTGTATTATAGGCCTATATATATATTTTACAGTCATTGTTACATATGTTACTTACCATAGTAGGTTATGCATAATTACATGCAACTAACCTTCAACCAAACCCTAATCCTACATGTTGTTAATTAAGTTGACTCAGTACTACTGTTACAAGGACACCTTAAAATAAATTGTTACCCAATATATTTTTAAGTAGCTACATGTTGGCTACCTAAAATAAGAAACATTTAAATAAACAAAATTATATGACTATAGGATGACATTATGATGTTTATTATTGTTATTATTTTAATAAGCAATTTGTCGATTAGCAACTAAAGCAGCCTGTTTTATGGGAAACACGCGCACACAGAGCAAATGCAGTATCGGTTATAACAATGTCCATGAAGGATGGCCTGTGGACGGAAATGTCAAACAGGGGGTTGGGAGAGCGAATCCTCCGGATCTGTGTTCATTTCAAACTTGTATTTATTCAGTGATCTTCAGCGTCTCGAGTGGAGGCGGGCTGTTGACACAACGGCATATTTCAATCACAAGGGGTTCAGAGACAGACCAAAAACCTATTTGTTTAATAAATCCGTCATTTAAGTTGAAAAATATTTGATAAGCAAGGTTGACCCCCCCTTCCAAACCCACGGCGTTTACTGCAGCTGAGAGGAAATAGAGGTTAAAGTCTTTATGCAGATCAAAACCTGCTCGGCTCTCTGCATTTATCTGCGCATCAAACACTGCAGACAGCTCGACTCCAGATACTCCCTTCAAGAACAAACCGACAGAAATTAAAGAGCCAGCAAGCTTCCTGCCAAACAATATCCAGCTGTAGCTTTAAGCACGTGAGGATCGTGGCTGCATGATCTGACTCTCCCATTGGATTGTTAGAGTAGCTGTCAGTCTGTTTCTTTATGATGGGCTGTATAAATGTCAAGTGCTTTCTCTCACCCTGTCTCTTTAACGCTCTCATGGCCCCGGGCCCTGCACTTTTTGACCTTCTATTGAACACACTGGCCCCTCATCATTATCCTCATTTTGCCTCTGGAGTTCATCGTTTGTTCCAGCAATCCCTCTTCACCAAAGCGTGGAGATATTTACAAACCAGCTCTGGGTGACACTGTTTACAAATGGGCCCTTCAGATGGAGTTTTGAAGCCATTTGATTGCCCAGAGAGAGCGTGGAGAAAGTGTTGGGAAACTGTGGACGACGTGTTATTATAAATCTCGAAATCGATTTTATTTTTCTCTACCACGCTTCCAGATGATGTAGTGAACAATATAACTAAAACAAAACACTAGAAATAAAATACAAAATAAAAAGATGTATCAATGATTTCAGACGGCAATGAGATGCATGGAGAACGAATGGAGACTTTTGCCTCAGGCTCCTGTTTTTCAGAATTTTCTGAATGAAAAAAACACCCCATATGGCTTTTTAAAAAAGAGATTTCAACAATGTCTTAAAAACAGATTTGACAAGATACAAATGTCTGCAATCAAAAGAGTTCAATAAGAACTCAAACCTTTCTCACCAAAGGATCTATCCAAATTAATTCTATATAGCTCTATATTCTCACTTGATCTTAATTTGTCTCATGTGTGTCTATTTTTATTTATGGAGAAACATCCGAGACAAATTTGATGCTCAAATGTGTCATAACAGAGAACTAAGATATATCTTTGAGTTT